CCCAGAAGCTGCCCGGAATAGAACCCACAAGCCCTAGAAAGGACCAGAGGGAAACCCCATCGAACGACGACAGACGTACCAGTAAAACGGGAAGGAGCAAACCGTCCCGAACCTTCGAGAACACATAGAAGCAAACACAAAAGACGAAGGCACAGAAAAACCCAGTCGCACCCGAAACCAAAAGTCATGCAGAATCCCAAGAAGAGGGGGACATGATGGAGAAGTCCCGTCCCGGGAAAAAGGGGGGGAAGAACGTAGAAAAGCACCCACCGACAGGACAGAAGCAATGAGCATAATGGACAAGGAATCGAGCCCAGGGAGGGGCCGATGCCCAAACACTCGTGTGGAGAGGGGGAAAGGAAAAACCCCACTCCACAAAACCGCAAGCCCCGCCCAGAGGGGCAGAAAAAACCTGGTGGGGACCAACGGGGCCTGAGGCCCCCACGTCAGCCCCACCCCAGCCCCGGGAACTCACCCGGCTGGCCCCGGGGCCGAATTGTCCCCCCAAAGCCCCAGCCTCAAGGAAAAACCGGGGCAGCCGTGAAAAGCACTAAGGAAGGGAGCCCACTGGCAGACTCTTACAACACAGCTGGAGGAAACAGGCTCGAATGCCCCCATCGCTACCCCGGAAGGGGAAGTCCCCGAGACCAAAAGTGTCTCAAAACCATGGAAGCCCCACCCCAACCCTGAAACCCACAGACGGTAAAGACCCGGATGAAGTGAGGAAGAGGAAGGGGGGGGGGGGAACCCGACAAGACCACCAACGAAAACGGGGCAGCCTCGGGGTTTCCGGGGAACAAACAACCAGCGCGTTGCCATTGAACCCAATGTGCAACGCCCGTGCTGCCTGCACCCAGTCAGCATAAGACTGGGTAACCGAGTCACAAACAAGCAACAAAACTTGCAGGACTCCGGGTAGAAGGTGTCACCGACCCCATAGACAGCAGACGGAGGCAAAACAGTGAGAGTCACCCTTAGACAAGGGAACAGAGCAACCCTCGAACTCGCACAAAGCAAGGGGGGACTCCGGGGCCACATCCATCGGGCCCATGCTCCCCCTATGGGTTTCCCAGGGTCCTGAGCGTCTACTATAAAAGGACTGGTGCTCAGGTAATACCAGGCAGGGTACTGCTAACCAGTGCCCATGTCTACCAAACAACTTTCTAAGAACTGAACCCCTGGGACGTGTACACTCACGAGGACCTAGCAGGGGGAACCACCGGAAAGAGGAAGAGAACTCGGTACAAAGGAGGAAAGAACCAAAGGCAGACCCCCACCAGGTAGACAAAGAAAAAGGAAACCCCGCAAGAGCACAGCTTACCCAGGCGGAACAGAGCCAGCCACTATGATTGGTGAAAACAAGCTGCGCAGTACCCTGCGCCCCTACCAATGCAAACTGCCCCTTACCCTAAGGCGAACAAGGAAGACAGAACCCCCTTATCACACAAGGGGCGGCCGAAAACCAAGTAGTAAACGGCCTAGCAGAAGCAGGACCCAAGGAACTTGTGGAAGGTAATCCCAAGCCCCAAGGGCAGTACTTACAGGGCACCTAGGGAAGGTAACCCTAGGCACATGCAGCCCGAGTACTGAAGACTCACTCCCGGCTCATGCACGACCTCGAAAACAGGCACCACACTCTAGGTACAGTGTTGAAACAACCACTGGAGCTGGAGCACACAACCGGTGCCTCTAGCATCAGCCGAAGAACTGGGATGTGGATCGCTGGCATGGGGGTCTGGGGCTCCCCCTTCCCCCTCCCGGGGAGGGGGGAGCTGCGCAGACAGCGATGCGGTGACGTGTGACGTCATGCTAGTTTGCTCATTTCTTTTTGGGGAGTTCTATCCACTAGTTCGGCGTTAGGTAGCAATTTTAACCAGAATAGGGGTTTGTTTTGGGATGCTTACCTTTCTGGGTGCCCGACCCAGTTGATGGCAGACATAGAATGCTTCCAACCACACGGGTTTCTATAGGCAATTGCTCCCCTTGCCTCTCTGAGGAGGCCAGGTTCTGGCTCGTGGTCTTCGGTAGGCCCATAGAACTCCATACACATGACTGATGCCAAAGCCTGACATTAGCATATCAGCCTGTATAGCTCCGGGGAACCAACGGGGCACCCCCAGAAAATTGGAAACTGTTTGTGCAAGTTTTAAAAACTTATCTTAAATTTGTTTTGTCAAATCATATATGGATGTATTGCACTTACACACTTAATTGCACTCACTTACAATTGCACAGGGTTAAGAGAGCTCTGAGGAAGCTGATGTGAAACCCATGTAGCCGCAGGGGTTTTGAATGATACGCTATGCCTATAAGATCCCTGAGGCGCGTTGCGCACCACCCATCGAGCGCCTATAGGCGCGTTGCGCAGTGCAGTGGTTAAAGAAATTGCAAAATGCCACTTTTTGAATTAAGATATTTTACAGATTAAATTTGTACAAATTAATAGAGATCTGAACAATTTCCAAATAATCTGAACAGTACTGTATATGAAATATGGAATTATAAATGGGTATAAACATGTAGGCAATTATGTGTTACTACAGTATCCACTCGAGTTAACGACCTCTTATTTGCCGATCTGCCGGTTCTAATGACCAGTTTGGGAGACCAGTATCTGGTGCCTCACATACCGGTCTGGTGGTCGATAGAACAGGAAGGGGAGACAGTAGGTCGGTATTGGGTTTGTTTTGGCATCAAGGGGTCCTCACATGGCAAGCAGGCCGCCGACCTCTATTGTCACCCTCCCTCCCTCCCCCCTCACTTCCTGCCTCCCCCTCCCCCTAAGAGACCCTTCTGGGAGGTGGCTCAGTAGATTGCCAGCCAGAGAGCCTGGAGAATCTCCATCTAATACAATAGAGCATTCATGAAACAAGTATTTTTATAACTTTTTATTATCCTAATAATATAACTAAACAAAATCTGTAACCAAAAATATATATGAAGATTATGTACATCAAGGTATTTAAGAAACCAATCTGGTCAATGGGGTCAAGTGTGATAGGCTTATCGGAGTGAGCCCTCCCTTCCCCACCACCGACACACACCTCCTCCCTCCATCCATCCCTCCCTTCATCCATCTACCCTCCCTTCATCCATCCACCCTCCCTCCATCCATCCCTCCCTTCATCCATCCACCCTCCCTCCATCCATCCCTCCATCATCCAGACACCCTCCCTCCCTCCCTGCATCCATCCATCCATCCCTCCATTCATCCATCCCTCCATCCCTCCTTCCCTCCATCCTTCAATCCATCCATCCTTCCCTCCATCCATCCCTCCATCCTTCCATCCATCCATCCATCCATCCATCCATCCATCCATCCATCCATCCATCCATCCATCCATCCATCCATCCATCCATCCATCCCTCTCTCCCTCCCTCCATCCATCCCTCTATCCATCCATCCATCAATCAATCCATCCATCCTCCCTCCCTCCCTCCCTCCCTCCCTCCCTCCCTCCCTCCCTCCCTCCCTCCCTCCCTCCCTCCATCCATCCATCCTTCCATCCCTAAATCCATCCCTCCATCCATCTCCATCCTCTGCCTGCCTACATTTCAGCCTCTCCATCCCTGCCTGCCTGCCCATCCACCCACCAGTCAGCCATCACTGACACAATGAGTACATTTGGAGCCGACATGGTGCACAGATGTTCCTTTATTGCACAGTTATGACCAACAAAGTCACGGAATGAACATTCCAGCCACTTGACAAATCAAAACAATGTGCCGTGAATCTGTGATGTCACATGGTAGAAGGCACTAGAGTGGTGGACCCAATGGCTGTCTGTACAAAATATATCTAACCTAAATGTTACGTGAAATATTACCAAAACTTAACAACTTCGTAAATACCGGAGCCCCGCATTTAATGATCTGGGTACAGCCCCATATAGGCCATTAAATCGAGTGGATACTGTAATATTACATCGAGTATCGAGTGAATTTTTAATATTAAAATTAAATAAATTGAGGTATAATCAACAAGTACTTATGGGAGAGAAGATAAAAACAGACTGATGCTATATACTTATCTAGAGAGGTTCACTCCTATAATGGTGAAACAATGTGAGATGGAGAGATGACAGTGATGACAATACAGGGAATCTATGCTGCCTAATACTGTATACTGGAAGTAAAACGCTCAAATGCCGAGATGACATTTTTGTTTATTCAATGTTTATCCAAGATAATTAAGATTAATCATTAAAATTAAGATTAAAGTTAAGATTAAGGACCTGCCTGAAATGCAATGTGTGCTAGTGGCTTTACAAGAAAGTAAGAACTCTTCTATACAGTGTATACAAGAAAACAAATGGATTCTTTGCTAATAACAAAGCATGACTACCCATAGAGACTCGCAATACATCAATCAGCAGAGTGCTGGTGGGATGGGACATGCTTGGAGCTCAGTCAGTAATCATCACTAAACAAACTCGCCAGCAATACAAAAGTGAGAAAGGGGCTTTGATAATATAGACAACATATAATTTGTGCAATATTAAAGTTACTCATACTGCATTGTCAAAGCTCATTACTTACTTGTGAATTGTTTATGAATCTGTTTAGTTATAATTGTTGGATGAGTAAGTAATATGACACTTACATATTACTAGCTGACACTTTATAAGACTTCATGTAAACAGAACAAATTGGATAAGTTTAGATTCTGAAAAGACCTTGGTAATTACAGTACATACTAGTTTGGGAATGGGGTTGTAGATTTATAAAACAAATTACTGGGTAATATAAGAGATTTGGGATCACTGGATTGTTTCAAGCATAAATTAAACACTGTCTATAAATGAATGAGGCTGGTTGGATGTAAAAAAGGAGCTGCTTTGCATGGGCCAATAAGCCTGCTGCAGTTTCCTCCATTTTTAAATTTTGTTTCTATTCCAAAGGTTTCTACTCTATTTTGAAGTTTTGTTTCTATTCTAAAAAGTCTCTTCTGCTTTGGAAATAAATATTATTACACAAAATAAAGATTTGTCTGTTATTACCTCATAACATTGGCAATACTTCTTAAGGCATCCTGAACGCTTGCAGTTACATTTCTTGGATTGGAAAGCATTTTGGTTTCTGTCTAAACAAGCTGTAATAGCCTTCTGTCTTTCTTCTTTATGATCCTCATTGTTGAAACAATTTGTACAGTGACAATTATCGCAAAATGCACCACTTGCAAAACAATCACAGTACCTGAAGGTAAAAACATTTTCATTAGTTAGATATCAAAACATCGACAACTATAATCACATAAAACATTTGAATACTTGTGAGTAACTGAGCAAACTCACTGTTTAAGACACTGGCTTTTAGTACAACTGCATAATTTTCTTTGTTTAGAAGAGCGCGGTGGTTTAGTACGATTTGCAGATTTTGGTTTGGGTTTGATCTGTCGGAGAAAGACTCATTATCTAACGTGTACACATAAATAATATTTTTTATTAACAAATTCTATGAAGTAAAGCTATAATGCAGCATTTCTCAACTTTTCATCCCTGCAGAACCCTTCAAATAATTTTCATGTCACAAGGAACCCCTTGCATAAAACCAGCGTTGAATGTAATGAAATGCCATTTTCAGGGTGAGCCCCGGAGGCTCCTTGGAGCTTATCGGGCTAATGTATGTTATATTAGACCGGGACATTAGCTAAGGACTTCAAACCTACCAGGGACCATCGCCAGAACCTGGCCCCTTCAGAAAGGTTTCAGGGAGCAATGGCACTGGAAAACCCTCTTGTGGTTGGGGTTTTTCTTATCTGCCATCGACTGCGGTCAGGCACCCAGAAAGGTAGGCATGACAAAACAAACCCCACATGGTAAAAAACTAAAACAAAAAAATGAACAGAAAGGTAGAAACTCCCTACAATCCCAAGGAAACAAGCAAACATCACACTTTACTGCTGCGCTGATCGTCCACGCAGCCCTCCCCGCCCCGAGAGGGGGAGGGGGAAGCCCTGGACCTACCGCGCCGGCTGCCAAGCTTCAACCAATGCAAAAAAAATGCCAACCGGTGGAAGGGAGGGTAGCCAGGGAGCCTCCGGGGCTCACCCAGAAAATGGTGTTTCATTACATTCAACGCTGGTTTTCTGTGGGGGGCCCCTACGGCTCCCTGGAGCTTAATACCCAAAGAGAAGGAAAAAGAAAGGGCTAACCCAGGAGGCGACCGCCACAAACTCCGCAACGCGAAGCCGAGACAACAGGATGCAATCTGCGACCCAAGGCAACAAGAACGCACAGGAGCAGACACGTATAAAGAATGGGCGGCCAAGAACCCGTGCGACCCTCAATTCCCTGCGCCCGAAATGAGCCCTAGACATCACCAACACACCAGCAGAAGCTGCAAACGTACGAACAGCATGGGCGCAAAGACAGACCGCAGGCTGGAAGACTGAAAAACTCTGCGGACGACCTGGGAGACCTGAGCCCTGAAACAGGGAACAAGGGGAACCGGGACACATGAGCAGGCCGGAGGTGAAACAAAACATGAGAAAGCGTACAAAACGGGGCAGATGTGACGTCCACCCCGAACGCAAGCCGGAGCGGCTCCGCCAGCGCCGTATAAAATGAGGCAACAGTAAGAAACATCAAATAACTGTAGTCCTGAAAACCCAAGAAAGGACAAGACAACCCGATGCGAAAGAGAAGACAACGTACAAAGAGCAAGAAAAAGTGCATAAAAACACCAGGATCGTCATACTGTCGCCAAGACGAAGCTCACAGGTGGGACACCGTCAACAAGGCCACCTGAACCACCACAGAGATGGTGGTCATGATGATGGTGGTCGGTGATGGTGGTCAAAACAGACAAAATGGGAAACCCAAAGTAAAATCAACACTCAAACGTTCCCAGAGGAACAAGAAACGGGCAGAAAACACCAGAAAAGCAAAGAAACAACAACAGGAGAATAAAACCCCTGAAAAAAGGTGAAAACTCACCCAAGAAGCTCGCTCGCACACCCAGGAGCATGTAAACAAACCGCAACGCCGCCCTGGTGGCCACGCTGGGAAACCAGCAGACAAAAATGGCCGCCAGAACAGAGGGCTGTGACCGATGCTAAAGATACGAAAACACACCAGCAAAAGTGGGAAGCAAGCAGACTGGATGGGCGAAAAACACCACTCAAAAGCAGAAAACCCAGGCAGGGGCAAACCGCCCCAGAACTGCTAGCAGGCATCCCCCACAGCCCCGGGAACCAGCAACAGAGGCCCTGGGGCAGAGCCATCCTACAAGCCATCCGCCCTTAAAGAAAAGCAAGAGTACATGGGAAAGGCAGCAAGAAAGGGCCGCTGGTAAGACCCAGAAGCCTTAGCAGGAGGAACAGGCTCGAAAACCTCCGTCCCCCAACCCGAACAGGGCAGCCCCCGAAAACCGCCCGAGTCTCGGCCCCAACAAAACCCCGCCCCGACTCCAAAATCCGCAGACGGTTAAAGAAAAGCAAGAGTCCATGGGAAAGGCAACAAGAAAGGGCCGCTGGTAAGACCCAGAAGCCTTAGCAGGAGGAACAGGCTCGAAAACCTCCGTCCCCCAACCCGAACAGGGCAGCCCCCGAAAACCGCCCGAGTCTCGGCCCCAACAAAACCCCACCCCGACTCCAAAATCCGCAGACGGTTCGGAGCCGGGAACAGAGACGGAAAGTGGCGAACAGCACCTAACCAAAACGGAGCGGCCTCGGGGCATCCGAGTGGGAACCAACCTAGCATGTTGCAGCAACCTAACCTAGCTTGCAACACGGATGCTGCCTGTACTCTGAACAGTAATAACATCAGGAGAGTACTGGAGAATAAGCAGAGAAAATCTCTCACAAGACTCCGGGTCAAGATGTCAGTGACCCAACAGGCAGCATGACGGAGGTAAAAGTGGCGACTATCACCCGGAGACAAGGGCACAGCAACCAATGATCCCGTACAAGACGGGTTGGAAACCGGAAGACACATTCAATGGTCCACCGAGCCCAGACAGGGGTTTCCAGAGGCCCGTAGGCTGACTGGTACGGGAAGCCCGGGCAAGGTGTTGCTAAACCGGTTAAGAAACCCAAAAATAACATGAGGGTAGAGGATAGCACTGAAAACCCCTGAGACGTGTTCAATCATGGGGGCCTAGTAGAGGGCTGCCAAACACTACCAATGGAACTACAGTATAGCCACACTGGGCAGACCCCCACCAGGCAATTGAAAATAAAAACAAAAGAAAAACCCCGCAAAAGTACACCGTCTCCAGAGGCAACAGGAACCGGTTGCCGCTTAGGTGGCAGGCCGCGCAACCAGGGCCAAACAAGGGCCCCAAGCCCCAGCTGGCCCCAAGGGCGAGGCAAATGCCGAGCAGCAAGAACCTCTACGGGAATGGTTCCCGAACGCCCCAGGGAAGATAACCCTGTTACGCAAGGGCAGTACTCACAGGGCGCTTAGGGAAGTCAGCCACTAAGCACATGCAGCCCCAGCACTGATGAGTTACTCCTGGCCACCGCACAACACAACACACGGCAGTGAACGCCACATAAGGCAAACACCGCCTAGGAAACTGAGGCCAGAGAAGCGTCTATCCCAGTTGACATTATCTTATGAACTGAAGCTTGGCAGCCGGCGCGGTAGGTCCAGGGCTCCCCCCTCCCCCTCTCGGGGTGGGGAGGGCTGCGCGGACGATTGGCGCGGCAGTAAAGTGTGATGTTTGGTTGTTTGCTTGTTTCCTTGGGATTGTAAGGAGTTTCGACCTCTCTGTTCGGTTTTTTGTTTTAGTTTTTTACCATGTGGGGTTTGTTTTGTCATGCCTACCTTTCTGGGTGCCTGACCCCGGTCGATGGCAGATAAGGAAAACCCCAACCACAAGAGGGTTTTCCAGTGCCATTGCTCCCTGAAACCTCTCTGAAAGGGCCAGGTTCTGGCGCTGGTCCCTGGTAGGTCTGAACTCCTTAGCTAATGTCCGGTCTAATATAACATACATTAGCCCGATAAGCTCCAGGGAGCCGTAGGGGCTCCCCACAGAAAAATTAGTATATAATACATATTTATTAATCTAAAAAAAGACAGCGTTGAATGTAATGAAACACCATTTTCTGGGTGAGACCCGGAGGCTCCCCGGAGCTAAACCAGGCTGATATGCTAATGTCAGACTTTGGCATCAGTCATGTGTATGGAGTTCTAGGGCCTACCGGGGACTACGGCCAGAACCTGGCCCCCTCAGAGAGGCAAGGGGAGCAATGGCCTATAGAAACCCCAGTGTGGTTGGAAGCATTCTATGTCTGCCATCGACCGGGTCAAGCACCCAGAAAGGTAAGCATTCCAAAACAAACCCCTATTCTGGTGAAAATTGCTACCAAAAGCCAAACTAGTGGAAAGAACTCCCCAACAGAAAACAAGCAAACTAGTATGATGTCACACGTCACTGCGCCACTGTCTGCGCAGCTCCCCCCTCCTTGGGAGAGGGAAGGGGGGAGCCCCAGACCTCTCACGCCGGCTATCCACCCATCAGTTCTGAGGCTGGATGTCAAAACACGTGAAAAATCTGCCAACCGGAGGGAGGGAGGGTTGCCGGGGAGCCTCCGGGTCTCACCCAGAAAATGGCGTTTCATTACATTCAACGTTGATTTTCTGGGGGGAGCCCAATCGGCTCCTAGGAGCTAACTACCCACAGAGGAAGGTCAAAGGGATGGAACCGGGAGGCGGTCACCACGCACCCCTCAACGGAAGCGAGACAACCTGCAGCAAACGCCAACACAAGGTGACACAGAGCCCTGAAAGGGCCTGGGAACAACATGAGACAATGAGCAGCTAGGCCTCCATACGAACACCAAAAGAACCGCGCCTGAATGAGAGCAAGGACACACCGCCCAGACGGCAGCAAAAGCAGCGAAGCCACGAACGCCACGGGCATGGGTAAAGAATACAGGCAGGCTAGCCACAATAACACGGCGGACAACCAGGGACACCTTCACCCAAGAACATCGAAGAACGGAACCGGATCAACTCAAAGCTCGCCGGGACAGAGAGGCCGCGGCACGCAAATAACGGAGGGGGGCCGCCACTGAACACAAAATATGACGCACCCCCGGCCCGACCAACCAAGCACCAACAAACCAAGGACCTCTCCGGAACGCAGCAGCCCCATCCCGTGCCAGAAAAGATGGAGACGGCTGCCACTGAACAACCAAAACGCCAGACCGAAGGAGCAGAAACCTCTGTGGAGGAGAGGAAGAAGCCCAGTGACCCGACCCCTTGAGGCAAATGCCAACAGGAAAAAAGAGCCGTCGAAAAACAAACATGAACCGCAGGAGCACCACCAACCGAGGAGAAGACAAAGCACGCTGACCAGAGACCAGGATGGTGTAAGCAGCACACGAACAGGCCGGAGGTGAAACAACACACAAGACAGCTTACCAACGGTGCAAAAGCAACA